AGCTAATTTTAACCTAATTTCCTAAGCTATTTGAAGCCTGTTTTTGTATTTTCTTACATAGAGAATCAAAACGAGCTTCCAAAGAGGAATAAACAATAGCATGCACTGTTGTCTGATACTGTTTCCTCTGTTTAGTCTCTGTCTTTTCCCAGCAGTAGTAGTAACTGAACACCCAACCTGACAACCCACCATAAGTGACATCAATGAGAGTCACTGGAACAGAGTGAGCAGTCTTGATGGCAGCCTTATCACTTAGGACCAGAACACTCCCATGCCTCATACCGAGACCTGCCATCTTCCTCCTCATTCCATTCCAGCCTGTGTCCCTGTATGTACCCTCTCCTCTAGAGAGCTGTACTGTGACTTTACAAACTTTGGGTGTCCATACAAGTCACCTTCTCAAGGACAATTACTTTGACCATTTTATCAAAATCACAAAGCACTCTACTTTGATCTTCTTAAACCCTTTATTTGCTCCATTTTTTTTTTTTTTTTTTTTTGGCCTTTTTGAGACAGGGTCTCCCTGTCCTGGAACTCACTAATGTAGACCAGACTGGCCTTGAACTCACAGAGATCCTCCTGCCTCTGCCTCCCTAGTGCTGATAATAAAGGTGTGCGCCACCACGCCCGGCTTGCTCCACTTTTTAAAAAGTTGCAGTTACTGTCTTCTAAAGTACTAAATACTCTGTTGTGTTTATTATTGATTTGCTATCTGTTTCTTTACTCAGCTCCCCAAAGTGACTCATTGGAACTTGTCTTGTTGTTTCCATTGCTCGCTAATGTGCCTAGGATAGTGTCCACCATTTACTAAGTGCTCAATAAATATATATGAATGACTAATTGAGTAAGCAATCTTTTTGCTCCTTATAAATACCCCAGTAGTTGAAAATATAAGAGGAAGTGGTTGCTTTAACACACAATCCTATTAGTAAAAATATAAAGATTCAGAATTCAGCCACCCTATTTTTAAGGTTAGGAATTTGCAAAATGTTAAAAGGTTTACAGATTAGACATGACTTTGTCATGTCTTGATCCCACACTATGATGTTTGAGGTCCCAAATCCCCATGGGCAATTCAATTCCTTAAGCATCAGGAATGCACTCACAGCACAAAACTTCCAAGTGAGAATCACCCAAACTCTGATGTGTATTTTCTCCATACACCACTGTTAGATTTGGCTATGGTCTTACGTAGGATTCAACTTCAAATATTGATGATTCTAGTCCTTTGTGAAAGGAAGGAAACAGGCTTCAGTAGACTTAACTTGAATGGATGAATGCTTTGATTACTAATATATAGTAACAGCTAGAAAGCAATTCAGTCTCTGTGAAAGCGAGGAGTCTGTGTGATTCCTGGAAAGTTGTTGGACATAAGATTGAGCTGCCTGTTAGGAAGGTTTGCAAATCAAGAATCGGGTTGTCTTGGGTTACAGGACAGGAAAATCTCTATTCAGGAAATATTTTCTCTAATCCCAAAATTCACTAATACTACTTCTCTTTACAGGTGAGCCCTGTGGCATACATCTCAATCCTCTTACTACATCCATAATTAAAACTGTCTTAGATGTTATTAGTTCATTTTAAACTAAGAAATGTCTTGATTTCCTATTTTCCCCTAAACAAAATTGTCATGTCTTTTTTTTTTTTTCTTTTTAACATTCCTAAGACAACCCTCAACTTCAAATATTGATGATTCTAGTCCTTTGTGAAAGGAAGGAAACAGGCTTCAGTAGACTTAACTTGAATGGATGAATGCTTTGATTACTAATATATAGTAACAGCTAGAAAGCAATTCAGTCTCTGTGAAAGCGAGGAGTCTGTGTGATTCCTGGAAAGTTGTTGGACATAAGATTGAGCTGCCTGTTAGGAAGGTTTGCAAATCAAGAATCGGGTTGTCTTGGGTTACAGGACAGGAAAATCTCTATTCAGGAAATATTTTCTCTAATCCCAAAATTCACTAATACTACTTCTCTTTACAGGTGAGCCCTGTGGCATACATCTCAATCCTCTTACTACATCCATAATTAAAACTGTCTTAGATGTTATTAGTTCATTTTAAACTAAGAAATGTCTTGATTTCCTATTTTCCCCTAAACAAAATTGTCATGTCTTTTTTTTTTTTCTTTTTAACATTCCTAAGAAACTCTTAAATTAAGAGGCCTTAGCTGGTGTTGATGACCGCCGACACAGCAAACCAACACGTTGACCAAAAGGGGGTCAATCTGTCATGCGGCCAGGGGTGGAGAGGCCCGACCGAGGAGGAAGGCAGGGCACCCATGTCATTTGTGTGTGCCTGTGTAGTCTTCTGATTTTAATTAAATGAAATGGATTTGACTCTAGAAAAGGCAGAAATTTATACTCAGAGTTTAATCCCCAAAATGAAAGCTTTGCTGGAAGCCGAGGCTCACTCTGAGACACTTGTAGCTGTGAGGGTAGACTGCAGGATCTATTTAATCCTTTCCATTGGAAAGATCCAAGATTTATTTTTCTAGGTTCTGTGCTCTGTGGTCATTTAACTGTGTTGTTCTCAGTCTCAATGTTGATCTACCCCTAAACAAGGGTTCCATCTAGTTAGGGGACTTGAGTCTACCCTGGACCAAGCTTTCTGGAGTTGGAAAATCTGAGATCCAGTCCCAGATCTTTGTAACAATGTGACCTGGGAGTTCTGCTGAGCCTCCTTTTCAAATTCATGGACAGAGACAGTAATGGTACCAAACACATAACATACATCAATAGTAAGAGTGGCTTATGTTAGTATCATCATGTTTTTTTAATCTTCACACATCTTTTAATTTTTAAAAAATATTTTATTATTTTTATCTTTTTATGTGTATGAGTGTATTGACTGCATGTAGGTAAGTGCACCTATGTCGTGCAATGGCTACAGAGGACAGAAGAAGCTGTCAGATCCCCTTGGAGCTGGAGTTACAGACAGTTGTTAGCTGCCATGTGGGTGCTGGGATTCAAACCTGGGTCTTCTGCAAGAACATTCAATGTTCTTAACCACTGAGCCGTCTTTCTAGCATCTTATTTTTTATTTTTTTATTTTTATTTTATGTGTATGCATGTTTCGCCTACATGTATATAAGTGCACCTCATGTCATACAATGTCTGTGAAGGCCAGAAGAGAGAGGATCACCTGGAACTGGAGTTACAGATGGTTATTAGCCACCATGTGGATGCTGGAACGAAATCCACGTCCTCTGCAAGAGCAGCCAGTGCTCTTAACCATTGAGCAATCTCTCCACCTCCCCTCACAACAGCCTTACAAGGTAGCAGTTACCCATGCTTTACTATAGAATTGCAGCATGGAGTGACTGGCCAAAAGGCACCAAGAAAATAAGAGGTTGGGCTAATTTGAGTACATAAAAGCTTGTAATTTTTACCCTAAAGATATGTCTGTCCACAGATTGAGAACCCAGATTTTGTTAATGATTTTTATTTCACTGAACTACTTACCAAGGGTCCTCTTCTGAAAGTGGCTCAAGGCCCGGCCCTTTGTCCTGCCCCTCAGCTGTTCTGATGCACTTGTGTTTGCTATATGAGCAGTCCCACCCAGGAGATCCAGTCCTGTAATTTACACAAATTGTGTGAAGCCATGCCACTTCCTTGGGGTCTACAACATATGTGCTATGACATATGTGAGCATGAAGGTTGCTAATGGGCTGAGAAATTAGCATTTAAGTAGGAGCAAAGTGAAACAGTGAGCGGAGCTGGTCACCATTACCCATAAGGTCATCTTTCTCCAGCCATTTACAGACCTGTCTTCAGAGAACAATTCAGATTTCCATGTTTCCAAAGACACTTTGCGTCAAACATTTATATAATGTTTTAATGGCCACGAAAGGGGAATTCATAAACATGAGTGCTAATTATATACAACACCATGTTTGAGGCCAGAGAGGGTTCATTCATGGCCATTACTGTGCAAGTTAATTGAGAAGAGACACCCGAATAACACAGATCAAAACAAGAACAGCGAAGTGCCAGCATGGTACGCCTTTGTTTTCTGAGGCTGACAAGTGCCAAGCAAATGGAAAGACGTTCCGTACTTAGCTACTGTTTTGAACAAAGGGAATGTGCTATGATGAAACAAGAGAAGGGAGCGCTTTATTCTGACTGAGAGAAGCTTGGAACAGGTCTCATGAAAACAAATCACGGCGTTGAAGAATGCAAGAAGGTTTTTGATTAGGTGAGAGGGTGAAACCATAGAAGGCAGAAAGCAGGAGAGCCTGAGAGTGCACGCCACAGTCAGGAGGTCACAAGGAGAGTGTGCAGACCTTACTGAAAAGCAACGGGCAAGGTAAGGGCCTGAGGTCAGCTGCAGCCCATCAGGAAGGCAGTATATGCTAGACTGGAGCTTGCTTTCTGTTCTCTGAGCAGTCAGCATGTTTTTGAAGACGTAACTGTTCTCAGAAAGTGATTCTGGGGATGATGTGAAGGAGAGCTTACGAGATGGAACCGGAAGTTGGGTCATGGGCTAGAAGGAGTACAAATGGGGTACTGCAGTCAGCAAGAGATAAGTCCTTGCTAACACTTTGCTGAGGAAGGGAGTGGACTGGGCACCAGGGACCACTCACCCAGCAAAGGAGGTTCATGGAGAGTAGAGAGGAATGAAAGATGGGATCAAAGAAGGGCTGGCTGTAGCCAGGATGACTTGAGAAAGGACATTAAGTATCAGGTTCCATAGTAAAATTAACTTCTGGAAAATTCTCAAGTTGTAGGGAAGCGCACTAATGACATTTTCCAGCTCCTTCCAGTAATACAAGGCCGACTTCTACTTTAAAGACATAAATCAGTTTGATCATTGTAAGCCATTAAAAAGGAAGCTTAGAAGGCGCTCAGATGGAGCCATGGAGCCAAGCCTATGCATCTGCATAAGCAGTGTTGTAGAGAGCAGCTTGAAACAAGGTCGTTCTCAGCCTGAGCATTTCTCCTTGAAGGTGAATATCGTCTCTCTCATGTTCTCTTTATTTTCTTTCCCATGCCTTCGCTTTTAGAGGAAAAGTCCGGTAAGAAATAACATGTCCTTCCCATGTTGTGAACGAGTATTATGTATTTCATTCATTTTCACCATCTGTACTTCTACTGACTGTTCAACATCTAAAAAAGGTTTCAGCTATTGAAAACAAACCTCTGTGAGCCAGAACAAGGTCTGATTATGCCACATGGGAACAATGGAGTCAGTTGCTGTGTGATTTCACACCCCTTACTATGGGCCACAAGGTAATTTTGTAGAGATTCACCTCTGCCTCAGTCACAGGCATATGATCTAATATTTTCTGTCCCAAGTTCTACTTCTTCCAGCTTCCACTTGAATTAGTCCAGCTACATATGCAAGCTATGAAAAAGATACACATTTAATTATTTTTACTTACCGCACAATTTGCTAGCACCCTGAATGTTTATGGAGATGGCCTGATTTGAAAGAGGAGCAATAGAGGATTTAGAGTTGTTTTGTTAACTTTGTTTCAGTAAATCAAAATATTCCTTCCTGGAATTGTCAGGGACTAGTAAAAGGAATCTTTAGAAAATGTAAGTCACAGGTGGCAAGATGGCTCAGTGGTGAAGGCACTTGTTGCCAAACTTGATGACCTGAGTTCTACCCATGGGTCCCACATAGTGGAAGGAGAGAACTGACGCTCCTACGAGCTGTTTTCTGATCAACACATGCACACCATGTCATGCCTGCACCTGTGGCAGACACACTCAAAATTAATAAACAAAATATAAATGACTGTCTGAATTCTATTTGTTAGTGTCAGGGAGTGAATTTTAGTAACACCACAAATCTATATGATGTACTTACATCTGCACTTAAAACCACATGGAACAGATCTCAAAGCAAAACAAAATGAAATGAAAAAGAAAAGAAAGAAAATTATGTTCTCTTCTTGTGGCATGTTCCCAGTATACACAAGAATGAGTGACATGGGTGACTGCTACTGTAAACGGGGATGCTGGGGTCTGGGTTGCCCCTTCCTTGTGCATTGGCTGCATCTCTGCACCACTTTCTCTGAGGAAGTTGCACTCAGAGAAAGTTCCTGTATTAAGGAGGAGGAATGGGAGGCACAAAAAAACAAAAAATGGATCCAAATATTAAAACACAGCAAAGTGTGGGTCCGTGTCTTTTTGTTTCTGAAAAATAAAATCAGCATGTGTGATGTGCTTTTGGTTATCACTAAGCCGCCTGGCACCCATTTAGTGAGTGAGCATCAGCCCAGTATCGACGGTGTCCAGTACCACATCGCCCATCACTGGGTGCTCTTCAGTAGCTATTCCTTATGTGCCACCAATGTCATATATTCTCCTTGGGCCTGGCTTGTCCTCGAGTTAACCTAAGTTGGCACTTCACATGTTAAAATTTGCCCATGGTACTTTCAAAATTCTTCGTTCTTCTTTGTTTTCCTCCTGCTGTCCTTACAGCACCTTTAACTGTGTTTTTGTTTGCACTGTGTCTTTGAGGATGAGTCTTCCCACACTGTTTTATCTTTGAAATGTCTGTTGTGGTGATACTTAGCTGCTCGCCTGTGAATATGTTTGTTAATAGCAGGATCTTTGTTTCATTTCCCACATGGAGTTTCAAATGAACCTCTAAGTTTGTCTGATTGGAAACAGCAGACATACAGTAAGCAACAATATTTGCTGAAGTTGACCTTGTAATTCACAGGAACAAGTTTAAATATTGACTAATTCCTGCAATAATGGGCCAAATAGAGGCTTGCCAAATACTATCCTGTCCTTAAAGAATTTAAATACAAAAAAGAACTATTAGGCAGGATCATAATAATAAACTCAATGTTCATGCATTCTAATTCTTTCCTAGGAAAAGATTTAATGTACAGAGACCGGAGAGATAGTTCAGTTGGTAAAGTGCTTGCCTTACAAACACAAGGACCTGAGTTTGATCCCCAGAGCTTACATAAAAAAGCCAAGAGTGTTTGCATACCCATGTAGTCCCAGTACTAAGGGTATAAAGACAGGAGGATCCTTGAGGCTCACTCACTAGCCGGTCTAGTCTGCTTGGTGAGTTCCAGGCCAGTGAGAGTCCCTGTCTGAAAACAAAACAAAACGAAACAAAAGGGTGCAGTAATTCAGTAGTCAGACTTCAGAGCTCAGAAAAACTGGTATATTCACACTTGTCATAGCAAAAAGACATGTAAAGAAACTTCCAGGAGAGCCAAGCACTAACTTCTGGTTCTCCTCCCCATGTGGGGCTGCACATGCGATCAGAACACTTCATTCTCCACAGATGAAGTATTGTCAACCTGGGAAGCTCTTGCGCCTTGGTGTCCAGATGTTTTATTGAAGCCAATCATGTAGGCCTGGAGTGACTAAAGGGCTGAATTTGGGTACTCAGTCTCCCAAAGTTAAGTTGAGATTGTATGACCCATGGCCCTCATTGTAAGACTTGTTGCATAAACTACATAGTGTGACTCAAAACCTGTTATACAAAGGCACTCCTTTTGGGTAATTCCAAGGACTTAGGAATGATTTCCTAGGAGCTGTGCAAGGTCCAAATCTTCCTTTGAATACCTGATACCTGCTGAGCCAGCCTTTTCTGCAAACTCACATATTAAAGGGCCCCTTTGTTGTATCAGGTCCCTTTTCACTATTCCTAGGCCTGCAGGTCTTCTGATTTCTCCTCGCATGCCCAACTCTGTGCAAAGCCTGACTAGGCAGGTTTGCCTTCTCCAGTGGTCCTGTGTGGACACCTTTGTTCCACGTTACCAGGAACAGCCTTACTCCTCCTCCTCTCCTCTCTCACCTTAGATCTCTGCCCACTCACTGGTTTTCTTTCTCCTTGATGAGCTGTGATGGCTTTTCGGAGAAAAAAAGTCACTTTCTGTTCCTAATCCAAGCACAAAACATTTCCCCCACTGGAAGACAACCGGATGCCCTCATACCACATGTGAACTAGAAAGTGCTAAGGGATGTAGACCTTGAACTTAGGCAGAGAAGCAGCAGGTATTCTCCTGTCTAATCATACAGAAAAATTCATTTATAAGCTCGGAACACTTGAAAGACCCTTAAAGTCATGCAACTGTCAAGTTCATCAGCATCTGTTGTCACAAGTTTGAAGACCCGAAAATGACCTTTGAGTCTGCAGACATGAAGTAAATGGAACCAGTTTCCTTGGGAACAAAAGGGTTCCTATATCAATAGAAATAAAGGAATTTTCCCTTTCATTATGTGTATCAGTTGTAGCATACATTAATTATGTGTGTTAATTTGACTGGACCTTTTATGATGGAGAAAGATATTAATCAAGGACCTTTGACCAGAAAGGATGTCCAAAGTTCTCCGAAGAGCGACTAACACCCAGGAGATTAAGGATGGACTGGTGACTCAAGCCCACACGCAGAGCTCTTCTCTTGAGGATAATTCTTGGACTCAGCTTTTTCATTTGTTGTAAATAATGACCAAGAATGACTATTCCTTGAAAAGGCTTAAATGTGGGGTACCTCTGAGGTCTGTGCAGGGATCTGATCTAGGCTCAAGGACAAGGACCCAGAGGACCGTGTAGGACTGGTTTTCTATAGTTATGCCACCTGCAGAACAGCAGCAATGGCAGGAAGGGAATCGGCCCATGTGTGCAGTGCCTAGTGCTGGTGTCTCCCGGTCTCCCAGAGTCTAAGGAAGGTTTAAGCCAAGTAATTCTGGACCAAGGACACTATGACTTAAATGATAGCTAGGGAAATGAGCAAATCTAAGGAGATGACACAGAACTGGGGTTTGAATTCATGTATATGTAGCTACCAGTGCTTAACTGATAAGGCAAAAGACATGGGACAGTTGTATAACCCCAGTTGACCAAGGAAGTTACACAGTTGCCCAGGCAACATCATTACACTGAATTCTTCCTGGCAGGAAAGGGCAGGAGTTTTTCTATATCCTTCAAGCCCCAAAGACAAGCTAGGTTAGCAAGGAAGAAGGAGGGAGGGAGGAAAAGGAAAAAGAAGGACTGGAAGGGAGAAAGAGAGAGAGGGAGAAAGAGGCATGTTTGTGTGGCTTGGCCCCAGGACCCACCCTTCTCTGTTTGCTTGTACATGTGTGTGTCTTCCTGTTTATGCAAAGTGCTCTTCTGGGCTTGAGGGAGTGAGGAATTCATTTGCTTTCATAATGAAATCTAAATAGCAAAAACTTGCATTGAGAACAAAAAAAAATTTTTTTAAGGCGGATAACCCTGAGGAACAACATCCAAGGCAGTCCTGTGTCACACACACACTCCCCACACACAGAAAGAAATTCTGTGACATGAATCAGCTAATTTTCTATGACTAGACTATTTGAAAATACTTATCTGGTGCTTCATTCATTTGTTTTCCTCTGTGTTTTCCCCACAGCACTAAATTTAACAGATGAAGATATCACAAAACTTAAAAATCTGAGGCTGATTATTTTGGGACTTCGACAAACCAAGAGAGAATATGTTTGGTTACTTGCTATAAATTTCTCAAACATTCATGTTGAACAAGGCTAAGGTTTTCTGGGGTTGGAAGGGAGTAGGGCTCAGTGGCAAAGTGATCACCTAGTATGCACGAGACACAGGGCTCAATCCCTGGCATTAAAGAAACACACAACAACAAAAACAATTATGGTATCCTAGTTAGCTGAGTTTATAATAATACTGTGATAGCAGTATAAGAAGGCAAATCTGAGATGAAGATAGGGCACTGTGGAGATTATAAGGGCACAGAATTTTAAGGAAGTATGGTCACATTGCAAATTGAAATAAACATAAACAAAGGTCTTCATCCTACTGAGCAAGTCATAAATTACTATTGTTTACCAATTTGAAAAGACCCTCCAAATACACAATGAGAATTATCTCAAAAAGAAAATAAAATTGATTTTTAGTGCCTTCTTCAAGTGCATCAGAATGACCATAATTAATGATTAATTATGAATATAGGAAATTTTCCAGATTGCAAGGCCTCTGTCTGGGTAATCAGGTGTGGCAGATACTATGGGGACTCATTATGTGTCTGTAATCAGAGGTGAATTAGCCACCTGCAGGTTTTGAACAACTGAATAAGTATTTTATTTGGTTGTACAGTTAAAAACAATTTTGGCCCACATTTGAAAACTGGAATATTTCATTTTTGAAAATCTGGTTGTTGGTTTCTTTCTGAAGACGGGGCAGCGATAGGCCCACATCTTCACCATGCAGATACAGTGGCCAGCTCACAGAGCTTGGTGATGCAGACCTTCCCTGACCGCACACCCACTCTGCCCCACAAGCATCTAGACAGAGGTCTCCCAGCTTCTGGAAAAAACCAAGACCAGATACTAAATTCGTTTTCTTCATCTTTGATGCAAATTCTATAATTGGTAGCATGTAAACAGAATGCTAAATACTTTGAATTTGGGGGGAAATGAAAGAAAAAGGTAAACGAAATTTCCTTCTGTGGTGCTGGGATCAAATCTAGGGCCTCACACATAAAACAAATTTAATAGGCAAAGACCTCCCGGCTGATAATAATTTTGCAGAGTTCTTTAATGGTGATATTGTATATTGATCTTTTCCATTTGTTTTCCGGAATTTTTTTTCTTTTGAAGGCTGTAAGAGCTCTTAACTGTAGACAGTGAAGCCACCCACATCTGCACTTGGCCTTCCTTCTAGCTGTGTCTCTCAGATTCTTGTTCATCATCTTGTGACTGCGTGAATTTGAACAGCTAGTCTTTGATGAAAAAGTTTTGCAAAATGAAGTTTCTAAAATGTCGTCACAAACTTGTCTTTTACTAGAAAAATATATAAGCATGAAACTACTGATTAAAAATACAGATTTTTTTAACTCATGGAAAATTAAGATATGACTTAATTTGAGAGGATTAATATATTTGATAATTGTATTTATTTTGCATTATTTATCATAATCTTATATTGGGGGAAGTATGTTACATCTAGTGCCTTATTTCCAATATTTTAAATGTTCATGTAATCTCAACATTTCATTCTTTAAAGAACTTTCGTCTGGCCACTAAACAATAATGTATTCTAAATACTCATGTAAAGGGGAGTGAATTTTTTTGCTCAAAACACTGGTTAGTCAGTATGATCATTTGAGCCCACAGATATATCCTGATAAGTGTCCTTTTACTCTAATATTACATAAGTTGCATCACACAGAGACAGGTTTATATGAAAGATAGGATCAACATGCATCAGTACCTGCAAAATAAGGTCAACAGTCAAGTCCAAGCTATTAGAAGTCACTCAGGCTAACAAGTCTAGAGTCTGAGCTTACAAAGCTGGTCTGAGGACTAACCATGCCTGGATGTTAACCACCATGGCTCTCCCCTTCATTAAGTCTTCCAACATGTCATACTTGGACCCACAGAGCAGAAATGGGAAATCAGAGATCTAAATTCTGTCCTTGTTCTACTGATTCACTAGCTGAATCTCAGAACCACTTTCCTCTCTGGATCTCAAGGCAATTGAACAAGATATCCAAGAAAGCTTTTGTTCCAGAGACCGGTTCATCCTCATTTGAGCAACCTCCTCTCCCTGTGTTTGAGTCCTGGCCTCCACTGAGTCTTGAAAGCAAAACTGCACAACTCCTTCCCCACCCACATCCTAGGCATTCCTGTTCCAGCAGAAGGACCCTAAAGGAGAGCCATCTGAGACTGTTGGTACACATTGACAACAGCCATCACCAAGGTCGGAGGAGTGAAGAGAGAAGTCACCTGTGTGCGTGGTGTGTTCTCCAGATGTCAGCTGGTCCACAAGTGCTCGGTTGTTGCCAGCCAGTTTCCAGTGTTCCCACCTGTGTTTGTCAGGAGCTGCCTACTGGAAGAGGCCCACAACACCAGGCCAAGGACAGATGCTTATAAAACAACAACGGAAAAATAAATCCTCCCCTGAAATATACTTTCTGAAAACAATGAAGAGAAAATCAACATCCTGCCTAAGTTATTATGGAAGCTCCCCTCAGGCTCTACTTATGTGGGAAATACTTGTCACCTATGATGCTGGTTGTGCTGTTGTTACCCAACAGCACATTTTCTTTTAGCCATTTTCTTTAGACTGTCTAGATAGCCTCTAAGTCCCCCTCCACAAATATTCTGGAGAAAAACTACTTTGGCAAGACATTATAAACCCACTAATAAAGATTTTGTACGTCCCTGCCTTTTTCTTGTGAACAGATTCCTAAAGCTCAGCCATATGAGCAAACCTACAGTATGCAATAGTCTCTTTTAAAGGTTCTCTGAAGCCATCTGTTGCTTAAAGGAGCCCTAGTCACAGGCCTGCCTGTCTTTCTCTGGCCTGATAAATTAGAGTGTGTGTTGGGTAGCTGTTTTGAAGTCTTCTGTCACCCAAGCCTGTTGACTGATCCATCATTCTCTGACTAGGTATCTGTTCTCTCTTCCTTTTTGCTGATCACAGAGGCGCAGCCCGGTAAGAACTCTCATTTCTATCTTAAACACGTGTAGACAAAGTTGCTACCAAGGGAGGTGACCAGGTTGCTTTCCTGTTAAATTTATGATCACCCAGTATAAATGAGGCAGATTAACTGGTTCACTGGTTGGAGTTTCAGAATTATGAAAGCATTTCTCCATAACAAAACTCATTAGTACCGAATAATGTATATCTGGTGTATGATAGGGAGCTGTGTGTGTGAATCCAAGAACCAGAGGGTAGGTGGCCAGAAAGCACCATAGAAGTTAACGATAAAGTGATTTAAGAAAAAAAAAAAAAAAAAGAAAGGATGTGAAGCTGGAGAGATGGCTTAGAGAGTAAGAGCACTTGCTGTTTGTGCAGAGGACCTGAGTTCAGTTCCCAGCAACCACATTAGGTGGCCCACAGCCACCTGTAACTCCAGCACCAGGGAATCCAATGTTGTCTTCTCATCTCCACAGGCACCTGCACTCACATGCACGTGTGCACACAAACATACACATAATTTTAAAGTAATAAAAATCTTTTTAGAAGAATGAAATTGTGGGGGTTAGAGAGATGGCTCAGCGGTTAAGAGCACTGACTGTTCTTGCAGAGGACCCAGGTTTGATTCCCAGCACCCATGTGGTGGCTAACAATCGTCCATAACTCTAGTTCCAAGGGAATCTGACACCCTTTTTCTGAAATTCTCAGGCATTGCATGACACAGGTACACTTAAATAACACAGCTGATACAATCATATACATGAAATAAAATAATAAAATATTTATAAAAGAATGAAATCATGAAGAAGGGAATTTCTAAACTACTTTCTTAAAGCACAAATTCAAAATATAAATATTTCCTTGGACCATAACTGATATAGGTCAATATACCTTCATACATACTCATATTTTTACCTCAAGAATGGGAGATTTTCCCAAGCTGTCGCATAATTCTAAATTTCATCATTTAAGGCAACGTTGGCAAGATATACCCATTAGGAAACTTCACATTGGTTACAGTGAGATACATCATTCTCCTCAGGTTGAACAACATGAAGAATTTAAAGCAATACTTTAAACTCTGCCATTTGCAATAATCCCATCTACCTAATCGGTTCCTTAAGCGAAGAAATATGCCATGTACAGTGCTGCAGCCCATCACTTGAAGGCAGGAAAATCACTGCAAGTTCAAAGCCACCCAGGGCTACACAGTGAACTCCAAGTCTGTCTGGGGATGCTTAACAAAATGGAGAGGTGGGAGCAGAAGGGAGGCAAAGCAAAGGAAAGAGAGGAGAGGAGAGATGAGAGGGAGGGCAAGGAAGAGAAAAAACAGTACTGTCCAAAATATCCCTAAGCCTGTGTCAATCAATAATCAATCACTGTTTGGGCAGATACCTCACCTAAGATTGCTAGTTGGTGGTTTTCTGTTTAAACTACAAGATAGCATCTCCAGTGATGGATATTCAGAGGCTATTTAGGTATGATGATTCCAACCCAACACCTGAGATGTTAGGTGACATCTCGGATCTTGACAAGTAACTCATGAGGAATCATTAATTCAAAATAGAGAAAAGTGATTCACTACACATAATTTTAAATGAAAAGGGTATTTTATATTTATATATTATTAATGTATTTGTGATGTTTATTATATATGTATATGTATATGAACTCATTCATAGACCTACCAGCAATAATAACTGAAAGGAAGAAAACATGGTCACTTGTAGAGGTTTGATTCAATGGGCTTCCTTCCTGGGTGTGGCTTGTCGGGCGACAGCACCCGGCTTCATTCTAGACTTGTCAAGTGGCTGCATCAGGCCCACCAAAGGCCTGTGTGACACACCCAACCGACAAGGGGACTGTCTTTTCTGTTGTAACTGGCTTGCTGCTGGGTATTCAAATCTGTTCCTTTCTAAATTAACATTAGTTTATGTCTCATTTCAGAGCAGCCAAGCTTTCTTGTATATTTCTTTCCTGTTTGGCTTGTGCTTAGAAAGTCGTTGATGAGGTGTAGGTGCTTTCCTGTAATAACTATCTGTGGAAGGAAAGAGCCAAACTCTTTCCTTGCTTCCTTGGGCATTGCATTTTAATGCAGTGAGTAGCACAGAGAGACCTAAAAGTCTTCAGTTCAAGCCCTGGCATCTTCTAACAGCTGAATTTCAGTTCTCACAGTGCAGAGTGAGCCCCGTTCCCTCAGTGCCAGCTCATTAATATTATGGTGATTTTCTACTTGGAACTAAAGCCCCTATATCTCTTCCTTCACACCTTATTAACACAATTCTTATATCCGAGGGTCCACAGCCCAGAAAAGCATTTAAACTCCACTTAGTCTGTTCTCCAGTTACCTGAGCACAGAATATATATTTGTGTTAGACTCACCTAACAACCAAAGCAGTTTTAAATTAGCACGTTTATTACATAACTAATAATATGATCATTCTCTAACTGGCACACAGAATAAGGCAAAACAAATTGCCATTTTGGGGCAATATAAGCCAGAAAATATAGTCAGAGATTAAGCTACCTACCAGGAAACATTTAATGTATTTGTTCTGGTTCAATCTGTTCCTCTGTTGTAAATGGACCCAAAATGGGATAGAGAATTCTGATATGTCAATCTTTAGGGAAAATGAAGAGCAACTAACTTCTCATGGGTCTACTGTAGAGTGCTGGATTGTGATGCCTTATATCATTAATGCTATAATCTAGGTAAAGACAGCACACAACTCCAGCCTTCCCCACAGTGAGAAGGTGGAAATGTGTTCAGCTCCCCTTGGCACCGTCTTATGCACTTCCCTGTCTTGAACCGTACCCTGCTTTTCTCCTAAGACACACCATGCCAAGCCATCCCCACCTCATGACACCATACTCCAGGTGTCCTACTTTTCTAGAAGTATCTATATGAAGAACCTTTCACGGCTTCTGACTTCGCATCAGGACTTTTTCTTGAATCATTTCTCCTATTATCTTAATACATTTGTGCCAAGACATTGTAGCTCTAGAGATGACTTGCATTTGTTATTCCTGCCAGGGCTTGTTTGCATTCTGATGGATGATGAAATGATGACTCTTGCTTAGTAGACTGGTGGCAGGCAGGTGGGCGAAACCAGAGGGGAGGATGAGTGGGGAGAATGGGGTTTCTGGGGTCTCTGTGTAAAACACTCCATTCAGTGGCAAATGAATAGACTTTAATGTTTATCACTTTTACTTTTTAAATCCTGTCAATAACTGATGACTGTTTCTATGAACAGCCTGGGGATCCTGACCAGGAACAGACAGTATTCCGAAATACATTCTTGAATTTTCCATTACCAAATATATAAAAAGCTTGAATTTACTGTCTATGTGTTAGAGTTCATGAGGGTCCTAGTTTAAGAAACTATTTTTTTGTCTTTATCAAATCTACCCAGGTAAGAGGTTCTGTTGATTCCCATGGCTTATGGTTTACCTCCTCCTTCTTCTTCATCACTTTTGAGTAAACTGAAAAACTGATTTTTCTCTTTCTAAAATTTTTCCGTGTGTCCAACTTAAATGCGGTTTTGAGACAAGTTTCCGTTTTCCAATCTGTGCGTCTTTGAGTTCATTTTAATTGCAATGGCAGAAATAATACATATTGTACATAACATATCTGTGGTCTTAAGCCTTATAGTTTTTATTTCTAATTCTAGGGTGCAATTAAAAGGAACTTATCCAGTAAGTATATCTTAGCTACCAGAAATAGAGTATGGTTTAAAAGAAGGAATAGTTCCTTGGATCTGGATCATATTTTCATTCAAATTGCATACTCTTGGGCTTGATTTCAAAGCTTTATTTAATTTATGGCTACAACAAAGAATTCTTGTTATGACAGAAGGTGTCTGGGTTCTGAAAAATTAACATTTAAATTCTGAAATAAATACATGTTTGGAAAAACATTGTTTTCTTCCTATATATGTCAGCTCTTGCTGTATTGTTACGCTTAGAAATTAATTTAATCAGCTGTGTTTGATTAAACACATTGTTGCTGGGGATGGGAAGAGGAGGAAGGCAGAAAGAGCTGAAGGGAGATGCAACTTACTCAGTCTTAGGCTATCAGATATGAGAATTTCAGTCAGCCAAAGCAAGATGATTTAGGAATAATATGTAGGTATGATGTCCCTTACCACATACAACATACTTTAGGGAAATCTAAATTCGTAGTTAAAGGTAACACATTTTCTTGCCATTTAAAGAAAAGAGCAGGCAGTGGCTCCTGGATCTGTGTGCTATGGACATATGGTCTGACTTATTCTCTTATGATAATTGAGAAGCAGAACCCATGGAGGCAACAGGCATTTGAAGATTGGATAGGCTATTCCACTCAGCTCTGCAGTATAGAAGCCTTCATTTGATGGCTTGTTTATGGTAGTTCTTTGGTTAATGAGGTTTTGCAAATGCTACTAGAGAAAATACTACTACAGGTGCTAGGTACACCGTTGTCACCTTGCCAGGAGGGTTTGTTTTTTCAGTTTTCATATTGAGATGCTTATTGATGAGACTTAAATCTCAAGTGTTTCCAAACATAGCTCATATGACACAACAGAAGGGACTGATAAGAGATGCCTAAAAAGGTCTTTTGTCCTGTGTGTCAGGTGAAGAAGTAGCAAGACCCAGGCGCTCCACCCCAACTCCAGAACTTATAAGGTGAGCATGAAAGATGCTGTTGTGTTTTATGTGACGTGCTGTGAATGTTTTAACTACTTCTCTCTGTCTTCCCTCCTCCTCCAGCCTCTCCCCTCTGCTTTTCAACCATCACTCTGCATGATACGCACTGAACTCAACAGGCTCATTGATGAGGTCTAGAGAAGAAATGGAGACGATTGTATAGACTTCTCTTAGTCCTCAGTCTAGATTAGTAATGAGAAGGAAAGATGAGTGCTTTCTCCCTCTGTTCCTCTGATATCTCAATATTCTTCCCTCTCTAGTTTGGGGTATCACCAGTCCATTGAGCGGGAGGGGCAGGATGAAATTAGAAGGCAGAACACTTTTAATTTCAACACAAACTTCCTGGGTATCAAATAGGCCTGTGCTTGACTTTCACTCACCATAAACTGCATTAACTATAATAAGAGACATGCTAATGACAAGCATAGATGGTTTTTAGGCCAAATATACTAGCACGTACTTGTAATCGCCACACTCAGGAGGCAGAGGCAGGAGGATCCTGAGTTTGAGGATAGCCTGGGCTCATAGCAAGTTCCAAGTCAATGTAGGCTTTATAAGAAACTATGTCTCAGGGCTGGAGAGATGGCTCAGTGGTCTCCAGCTGCCCTTGCAGAGAACCCGGGTTGGATTCCCAGCACCCACATGAAAGGTAACAACCATTCATAACTCCAGATCCAGGGGAATCCAACACCCTCTTCTGAGTCCACAGGCACTGCACGGCATGGGTACACTTACATATGTGCAGGCAATACACATAAAAATAATAAATAAAATAAAGTACTTTTTGAAAAGAAACTGTCTATATATGTACTATATATATATAGTATATATATATATCTTGTGACAGAAAGATGCCTTGTTTATAGCCATCTCCATCCTATCTCTTCCCTGTACAGAATAACACGATGCCCTGAAGTTGCTCTCTTCTTTTTTGTGTTTCCGCTGGAATTGCTCCCTGGGTCTCCATTAGAAGCTCAGGATCTACCTCTCACCAAGACTCTTATCTCATAATATATTTGGCATCTTTGTATAATACTTTCCAACTTAACAGAAGCTTTGTATACATGTGTGTGTATGTATACACACACAGTTGTTTAAGTAAGAAAAATATTTGAAGGTTCATGTACATTTTTGAGCATTCATTTTTGATCCCTCTCTATCTATTTTGCCCAATGTGTGTGATTTAGCAAGAAGCCTCCCGATGACACTCTGGCCCTCGCTCCCCTCTTTGGACCACCATTAGAATCAGCTTTTGATGAACAGAAGACAGAAGGTAGGTAAAAACACTGTTACTTACAGACTTGTTGAAAAATAACTTCTATAAAAATAAATGTATCTGTTTGAGGTGTATTTTAAAAATATTTGTTATTTTTACTTTATGTGTATGAGTGTATTGCCTGGATGTGTGTAAGTGCACCCGTTTTGTGCAATGCCTGAGGAGATCAGAAGAGCGAGTCAGATCCCCTGGAACTGGAGTTATAGACAGTTGTTGTCTGCCATGTGGGTGTGAGAACCGAACTCAGGTCCTCTGCAAGAGCAGCCAGTGCTCTTAACCTCTGAGCCATCTCTCCAGCCCTCTGAGGTATATTTTTAATGCATCATCAGATCCTTGTGTGGAAAAATGTTTATATTGAAGTATGCTGTCAGAAGAGAAGTTTTGTTTGCAAACCTCTTATTTTAGGATTTGATATTTTACTTCTAGAAATTTTATATAATGGCTAACAAATTCACTCCTCAAAATAGTTGGTAAAGTCAGGCATGGTGGTGGATGCCTTTAATCCCAGCACTCAGGAAGCAGAGCATGAGGATCTCTGTGAGACTGAGGCCAGCCTGGTCTTCATAGTGAGTTCCAGGCCGGCTGGGGCTACAGGGAAATCCTATCTCAAAAACAAAACAAACAAACAAATAGGTCGATAAAAATTAATGCAGATCTACATTAGTCTGTACCTGGGGTAAATGCTCTGAACCAGAGAGCTGTTGGTGATATAAGAGTGGATGTGAATGGAGCCAGGTACCCACCCTCATAATGGCCGCTGTTCTTGCAGTCGAGCCTCCGGTGGCATTTGCTCTTTTCCGCCCCATCAGTGTAAGTGTGGATTGGATGGCTCAAGACCCAGGCAGAACTTCCAATTATTCAGCAATTAGAAATAAAATGCTGCAGGAGAAATGCTTTCATTTCTGTCATTATTTAACACTTTAAAATCAACTTATGTTTTGAATGCCTATAAACACTATATATTGTTGCTATAAAGTAACCCCTTTATAAAAGGGATCTATCTATTCTATACTTGAAATTTATGATCAATGCATGTATTTCTAGTAACTGTTTGATAATATAGAATGTCTATATAAAAAATGTTTGACTTAAGAGCTCTAAAGTAGGACTGGAAAGACGGCTCAGAGGTCAAGAGCACTTGCTCTTGCAGAGAACCTGAATTCAGTTCCCAGCACCCACATCAGGTAGCTCACAATCACCTGTAACTTCAGCTCCATAGGACCTGACACCCTCTTCTAGCCTCCTCAGTACCTGCACTTACATGCACATACCATACACACAGACGCACACACATATAAATACATATAATTTTTAATTAAAAATAAAATATTTTTAAAGGAACTCTAAGGTATATGTTTGATAAGATGGTATCCATCTAGGCACCACTGGGAAAGTGTTCTTAAGGCTTGGAAACATGGTAAGTAGACTAAACTACAGTAATAAAGAGATTTCAAAGTACTTTAAGTTAAACAAGACAGAACCTTATTTCTTGTTAACAGTGTAGAAGTAAACAAGAGGAAAGTAGGGCAACTTCAGTTCTCGATGGCCACCTTCATCTCGAGTCCAAAGGATTACCCTGGCACTTCCTCCCTCCCAGAAGAAAGACAGTGGCCAAAGAACCCACTGTCTAGCTGCTCTAGGAACATGATTTAGAAGACACACATATCACTTCCAACCAAAGCGTGCTGCAGAGAATCCAGTTCCGTGTACCAGCTAACACTCTTTTTCTACCGAGAACTAGAGGATGGTTCTGGGAGGTAGACAGCAGCCATCTATCTACACCTGAATGACTTCTGTGATTTAGTTAGGAAAATGGGTAAAGATCATCTCTGACTATACCTTCAGTGGCTTTGTACCTGTAACTTAGAACTATCCAAATGTGGCTCTCATTCATCTTATTAAATCATCTGTAATCAGTTCACTTTTGATAATACAACTGTATGGTGACAGGAGGTGAGATTTGATATGTGACATCTGAATATACCTGTTTAGGAATTTCATAAATATAAAGAAGTTTTACATTAAAATGGAAGCAGTTCTTAAAATGTGTCCCATGTGGAAGTCTTGCAAACGATGCTGTCCCCTCCCCCACGCACACACACACAGAGCTGGATCTGCGCGGAGGCCCACGGTGAGGAGAAGACACACATCTGGACTCACTCTGTAGTCTGGCTTCATTGCTCTTCAGGTGGCTTCAGCCCTGAAGGTTCTGTAACGTTCCAATATTTGCACCAACCACATCAGCTCTTCCCCCGACCATGCCTCCGTTTCTTATCTGCTCACTCTTAATTCTTTTGACTAATTCTTCTATCATTAGTTTAGAAGACCTGAGATGGGAAACCTTATATTTAGGGATCAGGTATGCCTGCACCCTGTCTCAGCTCCTCTACTTTTTCTAAGGATGATGTTTGACAGCTCTACTCATTGGTTTTCTCTCCCAAAAGAGGCACTAGTGTCCCCCAAACGGTGGCACTATAAGAGCTGAAATATACAATAACAGCTACTGGCCTTTGGTGCATAATTTATGTACACTTCTATGCATATAGATGCATATACATTATACATGTACACATATATAAATATACAGATGTACACACACATACATGTGTGTTTGTTGTGTGCGCCTGACACCTTGTTTATCCCTCTCAGTTACTCCTGGGTTTTTCTTATTGTCTCCCCTTTGCACTTCAGGAGGGAAGCTCAGAGAGGCTAAATGACTTGTCCAAGCTTCTACATTAAAGCTAGAGGCTACATTAAAATCCACATCTAAATTCGCTTTTGCAGTCTGTACACTGCAGTACAATTCATTTCAGTGGTACTTAAGGAGAATTACTGGTTATTTGCACAAGATCATAGCAATCAAAGCATCAGAACAAGAAGAAAACTATGTTAAATTCATTGCTCTTAGATGAATACCTAATTGCCTAGATACTTCAGATATCTAAACAACTATTTGATTTTCTGATTCTCTTAAAATGTTCACCAAGTATCTTTGGAATAATTCTCTTTATGATACTGTGAAAGATGAAAACCCTAGAACAACCTTTAAAAATAGCAACTACAGCCAGGCATGGTGGCACAGGCTTTTAATCCCAGTACTTGGGAGGCAGAGGCAGGCAGATCGTTGTGAGTTCAAGGCCAGCCTGGTCTACATAGTGAGCTCAGGTCAGGTGGGACTACAGGGAGACCGTCTCAAAAAGACCAAAAAAAAAGCAAGTACTGCATGCATCCAGACACTTTCAGTACTGAAACGTATTCATAGAAGACTTTTAATAAACAAACAAAATAAATCTGCATGCAATAATGCCTGAGCTTTAAAAATGGTACCAGAAATGGAGACAGTGTATGTGTTGATATTCAGAATGTCTTAGGTGACAAGCCAAGGAAAGTGGTTCTATTCTGAATTTTTAAAAATTCATCTTTATGTACACATGGAGATGCCCCTTGCACCCCCAAATGCCACATCCTGTTCTTATTTTCTGCTTGAAAAAGAATATGGAGCAACACACTCTAAATTTCTAGTCAGAGGCAGTGAGGAAGATCACTTTGTGAAGCCAACTTTAAATTGAAATTTGTACTTATCTTGGGAAATTCTCTTTATTTTTCCAGTTCTTTTAGATCAGCCTGAGATATGGGGTTCAGGCCAACCAGTTAACCCGACCACGGAGTCGCCTAAGATAGCAAGACCTTTTCCCACTGGAAGTAAGTTATGTGTCTGCTTTGTCTGGAAAAATAAGTGACTCACTTTACTCCCTGTCTGCATAGTAAATTAGGCAACTCAGAAGATCAGGGTAAGCAACATTCATGACAGTAAGAAGAGATGTATGTGATTGTTGTAATAGGCTTTTGAGTTAAAGTGGCCTGGCCAGGTTACCTTCTCTGGGATAAACTAATAAACTGAAGTAGCATTGTTAACCGTGAGTCAGTGCCTTCTGACAGCTCACATGCTCCTTTGCTCATTCAGTCCATCCACATGGATATGTACAAGTGAGAAGTGGTTAAGCTTAAGGCACTGGGCAAGCACACAACACAGAGCTGAGCAAGGCGCTAGGTCTCTGCTAGCACCAGTGAACAACTGCGACTGACAGGACAGAAAGGACCCACTTGACAGGAAGGAATGCCTTGGAAAGCAAGATAAATAGGCTCTATGGTAGAGATGCTGAGGCAAAATCAGGACAACTTGATGTCAAACTGCTGATTCTAGCCCAGGTGTCTAGAGAAGGCTTGCCCAGAGGACTCTCTAACCCCTCACCTGTAGTGAGTTGCACTAGTTAGGCTGAATGGGTTTCTCGCTTAGGCAAGCCAACTACTGATGGCTCTTTGAAGTCTTCAACAGGCAGGATGTATATAAAAGGTGCTCTTTAAAATACCCATGGGAGGACTAAATCTTAGGGAAAGTAATTGGGGAGTTAAGGAGCACAGAAGGTCTTTTTATACCTTGAGACACAAAGAGGTCAACAAACACTTCCTCCGGTTCAGCATCCCCAGGGCTTTGCTTGGATGTCTAAAACTGATCACAAGAATCAGCCAAGGGGCATCAGAACTAAAGGCTAAAAGGGGATTTGTTCAGAATACTGTTACTACAAAACCTTGTGGTTCAGGCTTTGCAAAAGTATTTTCCTCAAAAACAGGATGGGAAAAGCAGCACTGTCAGCGGCTTTTCTTAAAACCTTTGGGCCATGGAAACCGTATTGGAAAGGGTTTGAAGCATGGAGTTGGGATTTTTCTTTGGTGTTTCTTCCTACAACAAAGTCAATGAAAAAGCCTTAACTCCCTTGAATGACCTTCTTTACAGATCTGAGCTATCCAAATTATTCCTACAAAACTCTTCTTCCTAAGCGACAAGAAGGCAAAAGAAAATATGTATGTACCTGGCATGTTGGTATTTCAGAGTTGGGAGTTTCACATGCTGTGTGTCCACTTAGCACAGCCGAGACCACTGTTGAATTGGTAGCATCTGGAAGTGCTGCTTATTTTGTGGTTGCAGCATACGTGTTTCCTCTTTAGGTTAGACTTTATAGTATTTTATTCATCTTATAATATCTAGTTGATTACGATCTTGACTTTTTATAAAGATGAACAGAACCTCTGACTGGCCCCGAACCTCTGTGGAATAGTCTTCAGCAGCTCATAGCCAAGATTAAGAGCCACATAATCCCTAGTCTTCGGGGGATTAAGAAGAATGCTAGAGGTGGGAAGGAAAGGAATGTCTGAGTTGTGGAGGTAAAAATATACTGGTAAGAACTATCCAGATTTGGGCTCACCTAGCTCAATCTGCTTTTACATTATGAAAGGTGGGACCACACTCAGGCTCACAACTGAAGTTAGGTACGGTTTATGACTATCTCGTAAACTCCTGAATCTACCAAACGCAGCCAATGATGAGGAAATGTACATTTAAAGGAAGAAGAAAAATGTTCCTGTTGAAAGAATAATTCCTGACTCCATCTACGAAACGAGGCATGTTCAGAAGGCTGAATCTTCTGTGAGGGGCCGAAATGCTGTGCTTTTCGCATCTTAGATTTTATTCTGCAGCAGTTTATCTAATCTGTTGATTCTTCTTTGATCTACATCACTTCACTTCTGACTTCTGAGAATATATTAAGATTTTTAAAAGCATAATATTCCAAAATCCGTCCAGACTCAATGTAGGCAACAATATCTAGACAGGATTTGAAGCCCCCTTGAACCGCCCACCTGACCATTATTGTTTCCCTCATCACTCCCTGGACTAGAACTGCCTGTGACTTGTGTCGGTCCCAATTCCTCCAGAACTGAGACGATTTTATTCAGCCCAATGTCCCTGGCTCCCAGTAGAGGAGGTGGGACTTAGTCGTGGCTTGAGGTGTGCTGAATAAATGAAATGTTGATATTGTTGTTACTGTCTGACATTCTTTTGAAAGAAGATCCTTATGGTTATAAAATGGACAACTCTGCATACTTCAGTCTTTTGGCTTTGCAATTTAAAAAATTTAGCCCCTGGCTAACCCATTTCCACTGTTAGGTGTGTGAATGAAGCCCCATTCCTGCTCATTTCGGCGTGCTGTATAATTTCGGAAGAATGAGATCAGTAACGCTTGACTTCTTGTGTCTTTGTAGCACCTCCACCACTGCCTCCAAAAAATGTACCAGCCACCCCACCTCGGACAGGCTCCCCCTTAACGGTCGCACCAGGTAAATGAGGTTTTTTCCAGTTCTGAGATGATAGACTTCAACATGCCCTTGATGTGTTGGAAAGTATAGGCTATGCTAACATGCACCGTGTTGGTGGTGTTTTTCTCATCGCACTTTGCTGTGCGGGACGCTGTAAGGGATGTGATATGTAAGGTGTACTCTGTGCTTCACATACACACACAGCTCAGGTTTTCTTCAGCATGTGTAGACTGAGGACTTCATTTACTTATAAAATAAAACAGTCATAATATGAAAAGTCAGCCGTTTAGTCAAACATTCGCTTTGTTGACTTTCATTTTAATGAGTTAAAAATTAGTGACTGTTGCCAGGCGTGGTGGTGCATGCCTTTAATCCCAGCACTGGGGAGGCAGAGGCAGGTGGATCTCTGTGAGTTCAAGGCCAGCCTGGCCTACATAGTGAGTTCCAGGACAGCTGGGGCTACAGGGAGACCCTGTCTCAAAAATACCAAAAAAAAAAAAAATTAATGTCTCAAAATTACAATTTGTCTTTTTTGAGAGTCAATAAAACTTTTGCTAGAACTGAAATTGTCTGGTCTATAAAAGCATAAAATGGTTCACAGAATGAGCAGAACACTGTTGGTGGGATGACTTTGCCCAGCAATCATTCAAATGTTTAATCATTGCATCGCAAAACATCGGGTAAAGACTGTAAAATGCAGCCAGAATTGCTGCATCTTCTTAGAGATGCCATTTTTGAAGCTTTGGTTTTCTTCTATTAAAACCAATACTATGCATTCATGCAGTATACAGTCTGCCACGTTGTGCCGGACAAGCAAGTCAAAGCTAGCAGTGGTGACTTTATGCACCTGGCCCTAGAGTGTGGCTTTTTTTTTTTTTTTATCACCTTTGGAATCCTGTAGCATGTCTATGCTTTGCCCTCTATGTAGGCTGGTGGGTTTGACAGGGACAGAGGAGGGCATTTATCATCAAAGCAGAAGTTAGAGAGAGTCATTAATGAAATTTATATTGACTTAAGCCCAATAAAAAATCTTTAGATGAATCAGGAAGGAAAGCTTTGCAAGTTCAAAGTATTTGAAGACCTATGTCTCTATAAATTGTGTTAGATATATGTAAACCTACAAGCAACAAAACTGTAAGTATTGCCAGCCATGTAAACAATACCTCTTTTATCTGCAGCTTTGAAACCTTGGAAGATAAGTTCTTTAAAATCAGAAATACGGAAATACTAAGCTAGTTCACATAGCCCAAGAGTAATTTAAAAGGAAGGTATGGCTTATGGCCACACCTTCCAGTTATTCAGGTAGCAATTTCTAATTTGAATATCCTCAGTTTAAAAGCAAAAATAGTTTGTTCTCCAAATTGCAAATATCAAATATTTTATGCCAAGCTGAAGAAATTAACTTTTTGATTTTTTTTCTCTTATTGGTATGAATTTAAAAGAATACAATGCTAATATTTAAATAAAAGGAAATTTTCTATATTGTACTTCAGAAAGATATACATTGCATTTATTCCTATGATTACATTGCAGTTATTCCTGTGAGGTTAACAAGTTCTGCTTTGTGAGAAAAGACATTCTAAAACTGTTTCCATGATTTTCTCCTCTGTTAAGCAGATACATATGTGACATTTCTAATAAGTAGCAAAGGCCTTCACAGAGTCCTCTGTGTGTATTGTGTATGGAGTGTGTTGTGTGTATTTGTACACATTTATGTGGGGCTCTCTCCTTAAATAATCTTTTTGTGTTTCTGGTATATTTAAGGTAGAAGATCTGTAGCTAAATATGATGTTCTTTTTTTTTTTTTTCCAACTAGCAAATATACCATTAGTTTGACCAAACATTCAATTTAGCATACTAGACTGCAGATTCTTTGTAAGACTATGAGGGGGAGTTTCAGGGCTCAAATCTTGTGTTATATGTATTTCAGTAGGCCAGGTTTTCAGAAATGACATCCCTTTGGGAAATTTTCAGAGCCTGCAGGCTTCCGTGACTCTCAAAATGGTCCCCATTGCTTCATTGTGAGCAGCCTTGAGAACAATACATTCCTCAGCACTTTAAGTGATGGTGAAGTGACCACCCATGGTCACCTTGCAAAGGTGTAAACACTAGCATAGAAATATGTGCTCACACATGGAGGTGGGCAGCTCTCCCCTGCCCCTCAGCACCTAATCCAATAAAGATATTTTTACATCTTGAGAACTGCTCATTGAGGCACCTTACCAGGTGTGATATGCTTACCAAACTTTGCCCCCCCACCCCTTCCCCCATACAAATAAGATGAAGAGCTAATACAAATTTAAAATCAACTACTTTAACTACAGGAAATGACCAGTCAGCCACAGAGGCCAAAATTGAGAAACTACCATCCATCAGTGACTTGGACAGCATTTTTGGCCCAGTGTTGTCCCCCAAGTCTGTTGCTGTTGATACTGAAGAGAAGTGGGTCCATTTCTCTGATGCATCCCCGGAACACATTATTACTCCAGAGTTGACTCCAAGGGAAACGGTGGTATCCCCACCAGCTGCATCAGACATCCCAGCTGACTCCCCAGCTCCAGGCCTGCCCGGCCCCCCAGGCCCTCCAGGTCCCCCAGGGCCTCCCGGTCCTCGCAATGTACCATCTCCGCTCAATTTAGAAGAAGTCCAGAAGAAAGTTGCTGAGCAGACCTTCATTAAAGATGATTACTTAGAAACACTCTCATCTCCTAAAGAGTGTGGGTTGGGACAGAGAGCAACTCCACCTCCCCCACCACCACCCACCTACAGGACTGTGGTTTCATCCCCCGGACCTGGCTCCGGCAGTGGTACGGGGACCACCAGTGGTATGTCTTACTGTTTGAGTGTGCTTCGTGTGCCGGAGAATGGCTGTGGCTGCTACAGTGTAAGCAACACCCTCTTCCTGCCTGGCGACTGGCTGGCTGCAGGGCTTCTGCCATTCCTCCTTGGGTCTGGTGTCATGTGGCCCTGTGCTATGTCCATTGAATGCTCCAGTCATAGTCCAAGTCTGTGGATGTGTTCTGTCCTGCACTCCCAGCCCTAGAAGTGCCTTGAAATGTATCCTACAGTTAGGAGGTGAAGACTTTTTGTTTTCAATAACAAAAACTGTGATGTCATTGTTTAGAATTCAGGAAAATTCTAGAGGGCTAGATGTCACAGTCACAGTGGATCATAGGTTACATGGCTGATATTTTTTTTTTTGTCAGCAGCCTCACACGGGGCCTAGATTTTGTAGGTCAACATGTGGGGAGGAAGATCCTAAGGTTTGGACACTGACAATGCATGAGCTATTGTACCCTCGCTGTACGTGAGGAATCTAATCGGACTTCTCTGACCTCACCATTTGACATACGTCAGGCCACTAAGCCAGCTCTAAGCACAGTGATAGCAATAGGACTCATGACACAAACCGCCACACTGAATTTAGTTTTATCGTTTTTATTTGAAGTTTTCTAATTATGAGAGGATAGGAACACTTGCCATGCGTACCAAAGAGACATCAAGATGTTTCCATGTCATGTACTTACTGTTGCTCAAGTTCACCTGGTGAGAGCCTCAGTGGCCCTTCATTTGAAGGCTGGCTTGGTCTCGGCATCTTTCAGGAAGTACTGTGTGCAACCTGTTTGTTATGTGTTTGGAAAGAGGCAGTCAGGTATGAGGTGTTCAGAATTAGATACAGAAAGGATTGTGTTTGTCACTATCCTATATTCCCCACTCTATCTCCCAGGGCTTGCTCTGTGTCTATAAATGCATGTGTGCTTTGTAAAGAGAGAGCTTCCAAAAAGATCATAGAGAGGGCTGGAGGTTCACCTATACCATGTATCGTTCGCTGTGCCCTCAGGCCTCAGCTCCCCCTCAAAGGAAAACACATGTTTGGGAAGCAGTACAGTAAATAAAATCAGCCAGTTTCTTTACCAGAAGAACCCAGAGGGCCTTTAATTTTCAATAATAACAACTACAGCCCATTATTTCAATCTCCCAATAACTACAGTTTAAGTACTAAAAATTTCCCCATTTTACAAATGCAAAAATTGAGGCTCAGAGATATCAAATCATTTACTCCAGTTTACACAGTTGCAAGTATCAGACTTGGCATTTACACACTCAACTTGCAGCTAGTCCTGAGCCTGGTTTTCCAGGGCTTCTGCAAGGTTTGTTCACACATATACTGACAATACTTGATTACTGTTGTCCATCAGTATTGCCCAGTGCTATGCACAAGAGCTCCAGAACGTGCTCTCAAAAGACTGCTCTGTGCTTCTCTCTCTAGTCATAGAGAACTAGAGCACTTACCCCCCAAAGGCTCTGTGTTTACCTGTAAACTCTGTTAAAGCTTCATATAACAAGCCTAAAGAAACAACCTGCCACTTAAAATTAGGGGTTTGCTTCCATTGTTTTCTATGGGGTTCCCTTTCCTGGGTCAGGCTCTTGATCGTCCAAAAAGATACTTCAAGAAATACTCACTGACTGCCGAAACAAATACCTAATAAGGGTCACTTAGGACGGCAGATTTTGTTATTCAATTGTGTTTTTCCCTTACTTTCACCGGGCTCTGGGAGATGCATATTTAAGTGAATTGGCCACCAATCTAAGAAGGAAGAAAGCAGCTTTGATTTTCTTTCTAGAATCTTTGAGAGTTTGGTCACTATTTCCATGTTTAATCTTTATGCCCTTATTTGATCTTTTTTTAACATGTTACCAGGAGAGACTACTCCTAATTCTTAATAACTGAGCTAGAGGAAGCTGCACTCTCTTTCATTAAAGGGTTAAATTTGTAAGTAGAAGACTGAACTTGGCCAGTGAAGCCCATGAATAAATAAAACTTTATACCATTATCTCCTTAATTAAGGCCCAGTTAATCTGCTTCTTCATCTTTTATTGATGGAATATACATAAATTGCCCAAAATGCAAACTTGGGATTTCATCCTTCAGATGCAGCCTCGTGCCTTTATAGACAAGCAGTGCCTCTCCTGCCGTTCCTCCTAACACCTAGCCTGGGGTTTCCAGCTTCGCCTAGGCTTCTCCAGCCGTGTTCACTGCACACATTATACAAGTGGCGTAGGTGACTGTTTCAGAGCAAGTGTGCAGGCACCCACGGCACTGTGGCTCAGAGCAGTTACCTGCTGTTAAAAACAGTTGGAAGTTAAGGATTTTCCCTAACAACTTTGACTTCTTTAAGGCAAAAAGTGGCAAATACCTTGGCTACAACATAACTTGACTGAAATGCAGATCCTTGTATCCCTTCTCCTATGTGGACTGAGTGCCAGATGATAGGAGGGAAAGGGTTCTGCTGGCCTTCAGCAAGCTTGGAGGCCAGGGAAAGGTAAGAGTTACTCGAGAGAAAGTTCAGAGCGATATGTCCAACTGAGGAAGCAAACACACTGTTAAAAGGTGTTATTCAAATAGCAGAGAGAGGGAGAGAGAGAGAGAGAGAGAGAGAGAGAGAGAGAGAGAGAGAGAGAGAGAGAGAGAGGAGACTGAGTTCGAGCCACCTGGGGTTGAATCAACAAATATAATTCTTAACTACAGATCTTAGGACATTGGTGATTTGGCAGATCAAGAAACCAAGTTCAAAGTGATAACTCAGTCCTGGTCACAAAACTCAGTATCAGAGCCTGGTCCAGATCTGTCTTCCCCCCAGCTGCTCCACTGCCCTCAACCTCAGCCATCAGACACATAAGTAAAAAGAATAAATACATGTGGGGGGCGGGGGGTTTACCAAAGAAATGATGGCTAAACGTCAAGCTGAGCATAGCAAATGGATGAAGAGCATGTCAAGGATAGCCAACATTTTTAGCTCAGAAATTTACACCTGGAACAGTGTATTATCCAATGCATTTCCTCCATTCTTGGAAACAAACCCCCATTTGAGGGGAAAATGAAAGTATTGTTGAAAATCAGAGAGACTACAGATGTACAAATACTGTCTACAGCCATCATACCTAAAACAATTGAGTAATTTCACAGAAGCGTGTGGAGCCTTGGTTCAGCTATGAAATACCCCTCAGGCCCTGCACATCCTCTGTTCAGCAGGGATTGACCAATGTGTCCCATAGCGCTACACATTCTCATCCTATCTGTCTACACAATTTATCAGTTCCACTACACCATGACTTAAAGGCAGTGTCCATAAAGGAAAAGGAAAATCATTAACTTCAACTAATGACTTTTTCCCTTTATTTTTAGCCTTATCTGTATCCGAAGGCTTTGCCATCATCAACAACATCTATTGCTTTTTATTTATATAATAAATAATATACTTATAGCATGTTATAGTCAAATAAGCACTTTCAGTTTGGTTGCTATAGGTACCTTGCGAGGTAGAACAATTTCTAACTTCTTGAGATACAGAAGTTGTAAGACCCCCTCTCCTGATTGAGAAAAGGTAGCAAGCTAGAACTTAGATCAGCACCCTCCATCCAATCACACTGCCCTGATTTTGATTTCTTTACTGAAGCCAACTTCTGGGCAGTAGACCCATGGATAGACATTGTGGAACATTCCTGTAACAAAGCCATCTCAAAGCAGAATGGAACACCCCTGCCTGACCCCCAAAATCCCATGACACTTCCTGACAAATGCCAGCTGTTCAAAGGCTTATCTTCTATCTCAAAAGTGTCACATCTGTCTTCTAAAAGCATCTTAGGTAGAACATCTGCTGACATGATACTCAAAAGAGACCTGATAGTGGGCCTGTCAAAACACACTCCCATTTTTTGAGACAATGTTAGCCAAATACTAAGAACATTTAGAGTGAGAAAGATGTATGCATGATGACCAGGTGAAAGTAAAACAGATCTTATACAAAATGTGGTAGTCCACGTCTACCTAAAGCTACAAGAGACTTAAGTGCTTTGGAGTTAAAGAGACCCTGTGCTTTATGATCTTGAACATGCTACTGAAAACCTCAGAACTTCAGTCTTTGCTGAGAGATTAATGCCTACCCACAATGCTTAGCAAGAGGAGCACATCAAATATGTAAAGTGCTAGCACAGATCATGCCGCTGGAACAGAATTAGAGTGAAGAACAAGAAGAAAGGCAATAGGTGGTAGTGGTGGAGGTGGCGAGGAGGGGACAGTAATAATGAGTGTTTCTACACTAAGGCGCTATAAACAGGGCAGAGATCCACTCAGGATGTCAGACTGCCTAGACAAATGAAGACAGGATCACTCTAGAGTCTCTCCTAAGATGAGAGAAGATTATCAGATGGGATCTGCTCCTCAACTTCAGAGCCCTTTGAGAATCTAAGAGTCTAGACTGAGATGCTCGCTGGTCTAGAACTCTAGTGCTCATGGTTTTGTGGCATGTTGTGATAGGATGTGTGAAAAAAGAGGCAGTTGGTGGGGGAATGGGGTGAATATTTTTCTGGAGCAGAATTTCCTAGGATTTTCTTGGCATGATTTTAAACTCTGCTGTTTCTAGCCTGAATAACCAGCTTTCTGAACAAGAATTGTCTTAACATCGATTTAACCTCTTAAGGTTTGGGGACAGGTAGTTGTCCATGCATCCTGGACATATGACTGACGATAGATCCCTGAGTGCTGAGACTCCCTGGTATGCTGATTGGTGTGCATGCCAGCCTCTGTGTATCATCTGTGTTTCATACGCTTGTCATGGACAGCCAAAAAAGTAAATCCAAGAGGCTTTTTCAAAATTCATGGAAACTGTCGCAAGCAAACTCTGCATTGGTAGGTCCCTAAGTACAGTCCTTTGGAAACACTTGTGTTTCTGTTATTATTCAACACACAAAGGACTCACAGGACATCGAATGTTCTGTCCTTTGCTCATACTAAGTTTGGGATATCGCTAAAGCTAGCACTGTGTTGACAGTCACGAACCCAGTTCTCTTATCTGTGTTTCAAAAAGAAAAATCTAATGTGGAAAAGTATTGATCTTTCTTCAAGTTCCATTTTCATCTTGGACATAAGTAAATTCTGAATATAAACAAAAAGCAAGAAAATTTATCAAAGTTCCGTGTGTGTATGATCCAAAGGAAATGTACCTACACCCAGCCAAGAGTCACAGATGAGTAGCAGAAGGATTTACCTTTCAGTGGATGTCACATGACAGCAAGGTAACAAGCTTCAGCTTCTGCCGTCAACCATGGCTCAACTGAGCGACTTCTTTTCTTTATTAAAAAAGAAAAAGAAAAATGTGTGCTAAAGCGTTTAATATAGTAACTACCAAAAAGTGTGACTGGCATTGCTCTGAGGTGATGCCCTCTGGCCACCCGTTTCGTGTCCTAATACCCAGCTGTTTTCTAGGTGCATCCTCTCCAGCTCGACCAGCCACTCCCTTAGTTCCTTGTGGCAGTACCACTCCACCTCCACCGCCTCCCCGGCCTCCATCCAGGCCTAAGCTACCTCCAGGAAAGCCTGGAGTCGGAGATGTGGTATGTTCCTTCCTGCCCTAGTTTGCTCAGAAAGCAACTATGCTAATGGTGAAAGTACCCCTAAATCCCCTAACACGAGGCATCTCAACTTCAGGTCTAAGAATTACAGCACTTTCTTCTGCAGTGAGAGTGTGCCTTTCAGCCTTCCCCAGATTTCTACCAGCTTTCATGCCAAAGTCTAAAATGTAGGAATTGGGCACTTAGGCCCTCCGGTCTGCTGTAGCAGTTGGAGACAAATGAAGATAGTAATGGTCAATTGTGTCAATCCTAAAGGATGGGTCTCCTCTTCGATATTTATCTTGATTATTGGAAAACTCTAGAAAGAAAAAGAAAGCTGGTTTCTGACCCTAGAACACATAAATTGTCAGCATTGGGCTCATGATGTAAATATAAAGAAGAGAGCAATGGCCCAATGTATGTGTTGCAGAAATTTCTCATGTGGTAGCTTAAGGCTGAGGGGTGGCACTAGTCCGTGAGAACAGTAACGAAGCTTGTGGCGAAGAGAAATGTCATTGGCCTTGCTACAAGAGTCAGAAACCCAGTGGTCTCTCTAAGGCCCGTGTTTTGTGTTGAAACCTGTTTGTGTAGAAGTGAGCACCTTTACTGTGCACAGGTTAGTTAGTTCCTGAGGGCATGTGAGGTGGGCCCCAGCCTCTCTAAGCCTGACCTGCTTGCTGAACCCAGCTTGCTTGGTTTATGGTTCTTCAAACTCCCGCTCACCTGTTATATAGATATAATCCAGTTCAACATGAAACTGGTGTCATGACTGGGCCTCCAGGACCCTGTTTTCATATCCTGATTCATACTGCTGAACCAGGGCCACTGAGATGACTCAGCAGGTAAATACTCGATGCCAAGATCTAAGTTTGATCCCTGTGACCCACAGGGTAGAAGGAGAGAGAGAGGCTCCTGCGAGTGGTCCTGTGATGTCACAGGCGCTCACACACATGCGCGCACACGAATAAAATATAATTTAAAATTAAAATAGAGTTAAAAGATTTCAAAACATACTGAAAACAAAGTATTGCGGCCTGCGTGTGCCTTACCTCTCCTGTCTTCTCTTCCCTACAGTGCAGACCTTTCAGCCCACCTGTACATCCTTCCAGCCCTCCTCCAACAGCACCCTTAGCCCGGGCTGAAAGCACTTCTTCAATCTCGTCCACCAATTCCTTGAGTGCGGCCACCACTCCCACAGTTGGTAAAAATAATCTCTCTCTTTTCGTGTTTGTGGTTGATCGGCTGTCCTTTTCCAAGGCCCTGTTTCTGGTTGCAATTGTTCTGCTGTGTGTTCGCTACTGTCACCTGATTCTTCTTTCAAGGCACTTTCTCAGCAAAGGAGGCCCAAGCACGTCATCTGTGCAAATGAACAACAAAAAGAACATGAATGTGTTTTGCGGGGATTTTCTTATGACGCTCGTACAGAGCTGCTCACAGGAGACATCATCAAGGAACGTCCTAATGTTTGGATATTTCTTGTGATGGAAGTAGTCTCCCTTGAGGGGAAATGTTTAAATCAGAAATCAAAACTCTTGGTATTTTCATTTTCTTGAAACTTCCATTTCTTCACTTTTGGTTGTCTGTGGTTGACAAATGTTATAGATATTGGCATTGTGAAACTTGGGCGATTTTTTGATAGTTTTTCCTAGTGCTTTTCAGTAGTACGTGGTTAATGTTCCCAGAAAAAAAAAAAAAAAAAACTCAGCCAAGCCATTGCGGGCATTTTCAGCACATGCCTCCGTGCCTCTCTCAGGAGGCTGTGCAGTGGAGAGTGAAGGCTGAGAAGGCTGTTCAGCTGTGGTTTCCAGCCAGCCTCGCCTCCCTTGGCTCCTGCTGCCTCTCTCTAATTGCATGGTGTCTGACCTGGAGCGTCCCCATCCCAGTTTCCCTATGTGACCACCCTTTCCCACTGTCTCCCCGTACTGTTTGCACTCCCCTCCTGTTTTCCCACGTTGTAAACCGGCTGACCCCTCCCGCATTGCTTGGGAGAATATTTTGTACAGTTCAATAAATTCCTATTGCTTTTTGGAAGAGACTTGGAGAGGCCCGTGTGAGAGGAAACCCTGCTCTAAGGTCTTCTGGAGAACAACTCATTTTTTCCAGAGAAATAAATGAAGATGTGCCTCTAAGAACTACAAAGGGAATTTCAGCTTTATCTCATGATCCACACTTTAAATTGGACCATCACTCCCCCTGCCCCCTCACCCCCCCCAAAAAAACCCTTAAAATTTGGTATAAATATAACCACTTATCAAATCTCAGGTGATTTTTTTTCCCCTTTTGGTTTTTTGAGAGTCTAATTGTTTCTCATGCCATGTGATTTCTTAGCAGATTTTTTTAAACATTTTTTATAGTTTATTTATTATTTTTATTATATATGTGAGTGTATTGCTTGCATTGGGTAAGTGCACACATGTGCAATGCCTTCAGAAGTCAGAAGAGGGCATTGAATCCCATGGAACTGGACTTACAGATGGTTATTAGCTGCCATGTGAGTGCTAGGAATCAAACCTGGGTCCTCTGCAAGAGTAGTCAGTGCTCTTAACCACTGAGTCATTTCTCCAGCCCTGTTAGCAGACAGATTTTACCATTATTTATATAACTGCATCTGTTCCTTGTCTATTAGGACAATTTGGGACTTCCTGTCTTTCAGTGCATATTAGCTGATGGCTCTCTGATTTTATTTTTCTATTTTGTAACAATAGCCCTTATTTTTTTTAACCACTATCTCTTTAGCCCCTTGATCTCTGCAGCCTCCCCACCCCCATCAGTGCTGTTCTGCTATCAGGCTTTCTCAGGGGCTTCCATTCCACCCACTGCATTTGATTTGCTTTGTGGATCAGAGGGGAAAGTAAGAGTGAGCTGTCACTCAAAATGACCACTTACAGCCTCACATGGACTATCCAGCTTGTCCTTTCAGCTCACTGTGATTCATGGAGAAAATCAAACACACAGGGAATTTGAGCTGTGTCATGACTGTGGATAGTGTGTTTCTATGCTCCCTACTTCAGAAATCTAAAAACAGGGCCAGTAACTTTGATCCTTGCCATATCTAGTATGTTCTCTTTCAAGGTGAACCACAGAGGACTATAAAACCATACAGCCAGGTAAGAAGCGACGCAGCTTGCTTCTTGGCTTAGGATATACTGACTCACTGTTGATTTGGTTTCATCAGCCCATGGAAGGAAGTCCTCAACCTCCTGTTCTTTGCTCTGCTGCGGGCCACCTGACAGCCATTTCTCTCTGAAGTAATTCCACTGCTAAATGATCAGCCAGCAGCTTCTTGTGTTGCTGTTCCTGGTTTTCTCCAAAGAATGTGCTTTGTCTGAAATGTCAACTCACTATAGGCAAGTGGATTGGGGGGACATTGAAAATCCCACAGCAAGTTCCTCGAAGCTATACAATTAGCATTCCCCTCCACCACCTCAACAGTTCTCTGCTATTTCCCATGGCATTTGTGCTGTATTTGGAGCAAGTTTGTGAGAACCAATGATCCAAGTTTAAAGAAACTCAAGAACTAAATTTTTAAGAACAAGTCTGTGCCACAGACACAGGTACACCTGTAATTTCAACCCTGGTGAGGCTGAGGCAAGAGAATCACAAGCCAAGTCCATCCTGGGCTACATAAAGAGACCCTGTCTCAAAAAAATAGTAACAAAAGTAAAGCTAAACTCTCTTCAAAATAATTCATTTAAGTAGCCCTAAAGAACATTGGGTATGAAATTTTTACAGGAGCTACAATTACAAAGTAGTGAATCTGATGCAACGTGAGAAAAAAGAACTTTCGGTGTGTTTCTACCTTCAAATAATGGAGTTCTTCCATGACTGTATTTTTTTTTTAATTTAAAACATCCTCAATTCTTAAAACTACCATTATATGTGACAAACAGAAAGGGCGCCTAATGTGGCAAGATGAATCCTTTTCCCATCATGTCAACTGTAGGATCCACCCCAGCTCCAGACAGCTCAGCCTGCAAGAAAAATGCACGTCTAGAACAAATGGAACATAGTGACAATTCTTTTGTGCTAGCAAAGCTTGTAGGAGCTGCACCATGTGATGGGGAGAGACTATTAATGTTAATGGATAAGGAAGTGTTTCAAGCGATGAGTAAATGAGAGTGTCAGTAGAGATGATGGGAAGTTGCTTCTACTGGCAAATACCCACTTTTATCACTGGTTTCTTATTTCAGTGGGTGTTAGTAGTTTTATTTCACATCATTTGTTTTCAAAATCTTTCTTAGGATACCTCTATAAAAAGACCACAAGAAAAGCAATTTTTCTTCCCTGTTAAATTCACCATTAACTATATTCTGTCACTAATAATTATGCATTTTTAAACTGCGTCTTTAACATCTCAGAAATCTGTAACAAATGAAAAACAACCATCTATGAGTAACAAAAAAGTGCCATATGGGCTTTGATGCTTCCCTTTGGTCTATATCTTTGTGCAAAAGTGACTTGTATTAAGTAAGGAAACAAAGTATTTCCTCTAATATGGGTAGCCATTCTCAATGACAAAAGCTTTCTGAAAAGACAGGCATGTATTAGTACCAGTTATTCTGTACAAGAATGAAAGATGCTGTTTTATGTGAAGCGCCTGCTTCCAGAACTCCCTTAAATATTACAAGTGGTGCATTAAATTGTTCTACCCACTAAGGATGCTCTAAGTATAAAAAAACTGACAGATAACATCCTAGAAGCTGAGGCTGGAGAGATGGTTCAGCAGTCAGGAATGCTTGCTGCTTTCCCAGCTCCCTGTCAGGTGGGACACAAACCACTTATAGGTCTGGCTCCAGAGGATCTGACACCTTGTTCTGGAGTTTGGGGGCTCCTGCACACGCATTCACATACATACAGAGACACACGTATACACATAAACTTTTTAAAAATTTAATCCTAGAACCTAAAATATTGACAAAAACAGATAAACCTTTCTCTGCCGTGTTTCATATTCCTAAATCTAGGCAGCAACCTAATAGAGTGACTATTTATGGAATGTTTCTTGGACCCTCAAGTGTCCATAATTTCTCTACAATGAAAATGGGTTTCTCCATTTCTCGTTTTATTTGATTTTCTATTCAGGGTTGTAGTAATACTTTTAAAAACCTGTGGCATTATTTTTTTACTCACATGGAATGAAAAAACAATTCCTTGATTTGGTTATGTGGTGAGAAGAGAGATTGTGTAAAGTTTGGAAATGGTTGAGGTTCAAAATATCACCTAACAATTCTGTGATCAATTTCCAAAGATATTTAGCCACAGTTGGATGCCATGGACAAAATGGCATTTTGATGATGCTGTTCAAAATCAGTAATCCTTAACTATCAAATGTAGGTGCAAGCAGATCAAATCTGGTAGTGATGAGATTATAATGGGATACTTCAAGCAGGAACCTGGGTTTATGCTGCTGTTTTATGGTCAGGTTAGACGCTAACTCCTTTTGTCCTGGGAAATGTGCATCCTGGGCAATCTTGTTGAGCTGTCAGGGCTCTGCTGGACCTTCTTGTTAATGGACATATATCTGGTCCCTTGAGAACTGCATTGGAGCAAATACACTTTCATAAGTCAATTATTAATAATAGTGTCTTTCACAACTTCCTGAAAAGGTGGGCGATAGCTCTCCCCAGAGCTGACTTCCTCTAAGTTACAGCTGCTGACTGGGACATTTTTTTAGTGTCAGTTTCTCCTCAGAATCATCTCAAATTACCACATCACTCAACATATCTTAATCATAATCCCAGGGTCATCGTTTCTTTTTCCATGAAAATCATCCCCGTGTTTCAATCAGTAGAGTGTTGTTGCTGGATTTCGTTTGGAATTTGTATTTGTGTTTTTGTTTTCCATTCGTTTATGTTTCTTTGGTTTGTAGTGTCAGAAGATGATGTTTTTTATGACAAACTGCCCTCGTTTGAAAGGCGCTGTGACAGCCCTGCAGGTATGGTGCTAGCTGAGTGATCTCTAGATTTGTAGATCTTTCAAATCCAAGCCATTTTCCATCTGAATGCTAGAAACTTCATGGACGTGCTCCTCACCTCATGAGTGCCCAGTGCCTCTCAGATGCACCCTGCACATGTACCATATTGTGGAGCTCATGGCAATGAACTGTGTTTAGGAACATATTAAAAAGCAGAGTTTGCATGACAGTTTCTCAGTGACAAGGCTCAAAACAGGTGAGATGCCATTGCTGTGTGAATTTTCAAAGGAAGGAATAATTTAACTGCTCGGAATTGCATAATCTGTTGACTGCTTTTTAATTTAAAATACAATGAAGCACCATTGGTAACCTCCCGTTCTCTTTGGTACAGAGGTAAAGGGTGTGTGGTGACTGGATGCCGAAGGTGATTCCAGCAGAGGGGATGGGAGCTCTTTGACACATTCTGTGAACTTTAAACAATGTTCTGTGAACATTGTGATATGCAATGCTGTTGTCATTTAAAAGCTAAGCGAATGTCGCATATAATCCACAACTCCAAGTCTGTCATTGTGCAAACATGCAAGGGGGTGACATTGAAGACACATGGATACAGCAGTTGCTGAATGACAGTTTGCCCAAATTAGTGTGGTTAAAATATGCTGACACCCCTGCATGGCCAGGAAGACTTCCACTCCATGCATACAAGTGCTTGAGTCTCAAGCTATCGACAGGCCTATCCATCCCTTCAGGCTCCATAGCTTTGCTTTTGCTTTGTTTCCTCAATTAAAACAGCAACAACAACCCTAGATCGCCAGCCTTCCCTTTCTCCTGCATGCTAATGGCATGCAGTGCCTCCACCCTTCCCCATAGTGAGATTAATAACCTGCTCTGTGACTCACATTGTGTCCTTCTCTCTCCCTCTCCTTAACCTTTCCCATCCCGCTTCAACTCCTGGCCATACAGAGAATGAACAGCCTTCCCTCGTTTGGTTTGACAGAGGAAAGTTTTATTTGACTTTTGAAGGTAAGTAGTACATAGCATACCAGATTCTAATTTATACTCTCCTCTTCCTTTTTTTTTCTCATTTTAAAATCCCAGTTTTCTTCAAAAGTTCTGGTCCCCCTTTCTACGTTAAAAAATGCTATGGCTACTTGGAAAGTACCAAATACTAAAGAGAACATTCCATGAATTCGGTTTGTATGTGAGCCTCAATTTTTCATGCTGAACAAATTAAAGCTGATTTGCAGTCAATATTAGTTACTTAATTAACTATGGCCAATTGAAAGCAAAACAAAATAGAACTTTTTTTTTGGCTAAGGAACTTAACTCTGTCAACCAGGGGTTCTTCCTAATTATTTTGCAAGTGTATGCGGCAAACTTGAGAACATTTCGGGTTGGTATTAGCATTTAGCCTTGGTTTAGAAAATTGATATTCTGGATACAGCATCCAGTAAACTGTAACCGTGTATATGTATTCTTATGAGAAGGAGTGCTGCATTCATAATCAGATAAACGGGAAAGAAAAAGGATCATTTTAGCAGGTTTGATTTACATCTCCTGAAATTGCCGTTATGACTATAGTAAAATGGATGACTATTGCTGGACTTGCTGTTTTAGAAGGTTCAGAAAAACATGTAAACATTATGTCAAACTTCTAAGTTCAGTGTCTGGCCATTTGATATAGACTCCGTCAAGGGTTCTATTCTTGTTCTGCAGTTAGCTTCCAGTATCTTCACAGGCCACACAGTTGGTTAAGTGGCACATTTGAATTACTGGTTGGGGGCCATTAAGTAATTTAACGGTGTAACTGACCATCTTATACATAAAGCTTTATCTCAAAAGTTCCTACTTTGTGTAATATTAAATAGTTATATTTATGCCAATGTCAAAAGTTGGTTTAAAAAGTCATCTAGAATTGAATCTCAATATTGCGTTTCAGGTCTTTATGTTTTGTGGCAAAAGGGATTTTCCCAACTTAAGTGTGTGTTTTAATGCAATAGTTAAAATTAGGTTGTCTGACATATATGACGTTTGTATGGTTGTGACTGCTTTCACTCAACAATGAACTATACTTTTAGAATGGATCTAGATATGCAAACACTTAACTCAGAGTAGCTTTGCATAGCCACAGGAAAGATGGTCTGATTTCAGACCTTCTCTGTGTCCTGCAGTGTTTCCCCAGTTTGAGCTGAGGATAGATGCTAGGTGATTTTCTTTGGAAAGATGGGTGTTTTCCACATGCCTTCATTGCCTGGAGGCATTAATTTTGTAATAAGCAAGACGCAAAGTCCACATATTTGTGACCCATACTTTGTCTTTGAATCAACAGCAACTCAAGGGTCCAGGTGAAACTGGTGTGGTGGCACATTCCTGTAATCCCTGCTGTAATTCTTGTACTCCTCAGGCCTGAGGCATTTGAGGTCTGTCAGGGTACATAGCAAGTTCCAGCTAGAGAGAGCCTGTTAAAACCAAACTAAGAACTAACGAAAATGTAGGGGTATCTTTATACTGATGAGAGTATCAGCGAAGTCAAAGCAGCCGCTACTGTGGAATGGGTTGGACTCTGGAAGCACAGCAAGTACCCATATAGCAAGGCCCTTCCTCAGCATCAACCGAGCCAAGAGCAAAGTCTGCACTTACCTTTTTTAACCAGAAAATTAAGTAGCATAATAGGGAAGGCCTCACATAATTGTCTGGAACCACCAGATGGCAACTCTGGTTTCTTGCTGCTGCTGCTGCTGTGTGTTCTGGCTATCAGCAGTACGTGCTGGCTCATCTCCTGCTGATTCCAGTGACTCTCTTCTTACAGACAGAATCTTTTGAAAAAGATTTCAATCTAAACACACTTTTGATTTTATTTTTTGGTCTTTTAAAAAATATTTTATTATTTTTATCTTTTTTATGTGTGTGAGTGTTATGCCTACATGTAGGTAAGTGCACCCATGTAGTGCAATACCCACGGACGACAGAAGAGGCTGTTGGAGCCTCTGGAACTGGAGTTACGGACAGTTGTTAGCTGCCATATGGATGCTGGGATTTGAACCTGGGTCTTCTGCAAGAAGAGTCAGTGTTCTTAACCACTGAGCCATCTCTCCAGCCCCATTTTTTTATCTTTTTGAGACAGGGTCTCCCTATAGCCCTAGCTGGCCTGGAACTCACTATGTAGACCACTCTGGCCTCAAACTCACAAAGATCTGCCCACCTCTGCCTCCTGAGTGCTGGGATTCAAAGCGTGCACCACCATACCCAACTGTATCAACTGGTTGTTTTTAAAATATGTATTATCAGGGATGGAGAGATGGCTCAGTGTTAAGAACACTGGCTTTTCTTACAGAGGACCTGGGTTCAGTTTCCAGCACCCACAAGGTGGCAAATAACCATCTGTATGTAGCTCCAGTTCCAGGGGATCCGATGCCCCCTTCTGACCTCTGCAGCATTGCATGACACAGGTGTACTTACATAATGCAGGCAATATACTCACACATATAAAATAGAAATAATTAATTAAAAATATGCACTATCAAAAATACCAACTATTTTGTAAATGTATAGAACGGTGTCATATTATAAAAATGCAAACAACTCAAGCATCTCAGTTTAAGCCAAGGAACTTAAGCAAGGAAGTTTTAATGGAAATTACCTGGACTTTTCCATATTGTATTATCTTCACCTTGGAATTTCTTGGATATGGGAAGTGTGGACAAGGCCTCCTGGGAACCATGTGAACCCCAAATCATATGTTCACCTCACCAAGAAATGCTTCTGAGATATAAATACATGGAAATTCACCTTGAGGTAAACCCTGAGAAAAACTAAAGGTGGTACTCAGCACCTAAGGGACTGGGTTAGAATGGAAAGAGCCTGCCTCCGTGGTGTGTGCAGATTAGTCTCAGGTCTTCTCAGAAAATGCAATCTGAAAAGATTTTTTGAATGATTTTCTGCTGTCATTCAGAAGTGACCACATTTTCCAATGCCTTAAGGATTCTGTCCTGCCTCAATTTCTATATTCTTAGAAGATAGTCATCTGACACACTGTTGAGTAGCATTTTAACAAATTGTCTAGGACATTCAAGTTTACCCTCATTTGTTATGCCTAATTTTAGTGGTCATCCAGAGAAGGAAGAAAAGGAAAAAAGATTCTCATGTCAAAAATCTTCAGTTATTTAGTGGCTTCTGGATAATGTTTGCAACCTTAGGATTCTATAGTCACTTAGTCATTGAATCATTGACCAACCAATGAAGGAATTAATGAGCATTGACCAGTGAGTTTATTGGTATCTCTAGTTTCCAAATGATGTAACAGATGAGACAAAAAGCCTTAGACCATAGTTCTAAGTTACAAGAGTCTCAAATCTTTTATACTGTCTTTCTTTTATAAATATATCACTGAAATCTTGATCTATTTTGTACTGGGCTTTTAAAAAATGACTCAAATGTTTATGACTGTTTAAATTAATCAAAAGCATATCTGGGGGATAGGGAGAGGGCTCAGTTTGTAAAGTGCTTGCCATGTAAGCTTAAGGAGTCAAGTGTGGAATCCCCAGCATCCAACAAAAACCCAGGTAGCACAGTGCACACCTGTAATCCCAGCCTTGGGGAAGTAGAGACAGGAGGCTCCCAGGGCCTCACTGGACAGCCAGTGTAGTCAAATTGTGAGCTCCAGGTTCAACAAGAGACCCTATATCAAAAAATAAGGTGGAGTGAGATTGAGGAAGACACCCAAGATTGACCTCTGGCCTCCATGTATATATTTCCAGGCCAGCTAGGGCTGCAAGGAGACCCTGTCTCAAAAAGACAAAAAAAAAAAAAAAAAAAAGTGTATCTGGTTGAAGCCATCAAGTGTCCTCAGGTAGAGAGAACTGGTAGTTCCAGGACAAATCACCGTGCCTATTAGAAATTTCAATTCTGTAGACGCTTTGAATGTCAAGATGTTTCCAGATACCTGCTGCCCCTCTCCTTGGTTGACTTTTTTAATTACAAAATTATCTTGCATGCAGTGATGAAAAAAGAATCAAACAAATGAAAACCCATGCTGCCATCAGTTCCTGAGTGTTTTGGTGCCTCCGGCCATGTGGCAGCCTCTGGCATCTCCACTGTCCCCACTGTGCCTCTCTACTCTGCTCATCCTCACAGTACTCTGGCAGCATGGCACCCTTAGCATTTCTTACCTGAGTGTTCAGCCTCTCTGCTTAATCCCTCCATTCCCTAGCTGAATGCCAGCCCTCTCCGGGGACCAACATTTCTTTTGTAGCAGTCTGCAAGGAAAGTTTTTCACTTTTCTATGGGCCATGTGTCACGGGGCTAAGAGGCAGCAAATTCTCAGTGCTCCCCCTTACCGCTTCCAAAACCTTCCAACTATGGACAGCAGTCATTGGCTCACTGGATTCCTCCACTGAATTTGTTTCCCCACCACTGTTGGCCACTGACTTTGGGGCCTCCCTCTGTGTTTGTCTGGAAGCTTCCTTTGCATCCTCTGCTCACCTCAAACATCTTCCCTGCCAGTCCATCCAATGCATAGACTCCAGGGCCTCTCGGCTTCTTCAGCACCAAGGAATGTTTCCTGCAATCTACTCAGTAACTCAGAACTTTGGAAACAATTCCTACTGGCAAGAATCATTTGGGCTATTTCATAACTAAAACCTGTCACTCTTCTTGTATATTAAGAACTATGTTAAGCAGCGATTAATTCAGTACATCTTGCTCTCATTCAGTACATCTATTGAGTGCTTACTGTGCGCTAATGCTGTCCTGAGCAACATCGGAGCACTTACTGTGTGCCAAGCACTTTCACCTGTGTTCTTAGTTCATCTGCACAAGTCACTGCTGAAGAAAGGAAGATTGGGATAACAACAGGTCTTGAGAGCCTCAAACCCAGGCCAAAGTAGGGAGGAGACCAAAGCAGGCTACCTTGCCCTCCTCCACTTCCTGGCCTGCTGTGTGTTCACAGTCTCACCCTTAGTGGCACAACTGTCCCTCATCCCTGCCTCTCCAACTCTTTCATTCCCAGACACTGCCTTGGCCTC